AAAATGACATAAGTTAAAAATAAAATTGTTATAATTAAAATAAATTAAAATATTAATTAATTATATATTATTTAATATTTAATTAAATTTTAAGCCATTAAAAATTACGAAGTGTATAAGTTAAAAATCAAATTGTTATTACTGAAAGGTAATAAAATATTATTTAATAATATATTATTCTAATTATATTACTAAAATTTGTGCATTTCGTAATTTCTTTATAATATAAATGTTGAACATTATTTTTTTAGTTAATTAAATCCCTAAATATTTTCTAAAAGTTCTACTATTATTGATTATTATTCCCCAAATATATTAAACTCGTTTTTCATATATTTTATTACTTGTGCTAATTAACATATAATTCAAAATATTACTCTTTTATAATTTTTATCTTACATATTGTTAAATAAGTAGTATAATATAATTTATAACTCAAATAGAATTAATGAGAAAATAAAATATCCATTAAAGTAAAAAATAGAAAAATAAAATACTTTAATATAAAATAGAAGTAAATGTACATATACATGAAATTTTCAAGTTTTATAATTAGGAATAATTACTACTTATTCCTACTCTCTCATTAAATAGACTTTTAACAAATGACAATTAAGCCATTAAAACATTGAAAGAGTAAGGGTAATTTGGTCTATCAAAATTTTTACATAAACATTCACATTTTTAAGTTTGTAGATAGATAGAGATTTCTATTGGATTATTGGTCTTTACATTAAAATTTTTTGTTATTTGGTTTGATTTTGCCTTTATTTTTCAAAATAACCAATGCGACACCGACCAAACTCTATATATACACGTTTTTTCTTTTTTTTTTTAAAAAAAAATTAATACATATGCCAATATTATTAATATAAGATATTAAGATATTAAATAAATACATTAAAATAATAAATCTTTTTCTATAATGTCCATCCACTAAAAGAGCTGCCCATCGAAAGTGTTCACATGCAATTGCTCCCGAGGCTCTGGTTTGCAAGCAACACACATGTTGAACTGAGACTCTGAGAGCCTGTGGTTGTTCCTGTCTGACTGGCTCGCGAGCCTACAACCCCATACGTGCCTCGATCGACAAACACGAAACAAACCATTCGTAAAGTCCGAGTGACAAGCTTCTGTGCGACATTTTTCTAATGATTGTAGTAATATTGGCACCAACACCTATTTCTTTCTCGTCTTATGCTAATATGGTGAAATTCTCCAAAATAATTTCTTCCCGAACTCTTTCCACATAACACATGTATGATGAACATATAGAAGCTCATCACACTTCCTCACTAAAAATCAAATTTGAAGAACATCGCCTACTATTCCACTCAGATTAATTTGCTATGCAAGGTTATGACTTTAGTACTAGTTTTTGATAAAAATCAGGATGACAGAATGTGAAACTCATTATTAAATTGAAAAGCAAGCAAGCGTAGAACTTATGCCGTTGTCTGAGCTCTCCATTTCAAACGAAGCCATATTACCCCGTCATACGTCCTGTTTCGCAATTCCGACTGGTCTGTCCACTGCACGAGCTGCCCATCCACGTGAACTTGCTCCAAATCGTGCTGCCAAAAGTAGGGCTCGGTCCTGACGTTCTTTTTTGCAAGCAACATGTTTAACTGAAACTCTGAGAGCCTGTACTTCCTGGCAGACCCGCTCACGAGCCTACAACCCAATACATGACTTGGTCGACAAACACGAAGTAAGCCATTCGTAAACCCCAAGTACCAAGATGCCGTGCGGCATTTAAAAGTAGTAAAACTCATGTACCGCACCACCACAGGCGGCTCGTGATCTAGAAAAGCACTACTACACGGCACATCCTGAGGGCCTCCGTCCATATACAAAAACAGAGAAATCCGAGACTCACTTAGTGCCTCGAGCAATCGTCTCACCTCAAGGAACCACCAATTGACGTCGAAATCGGGATCTTTCTCACACAAAGAAGATAGGAATACATTTGAATCCCACTCCTTGGAAGTAGTGGTCGTGAAAGAGAATGTGGGCAGCGCCTGAGGAATACAGGCAATGAACGTAAAATTGAGAATGTTGGGGGCACAGATCGTAGCTCCTTTAAGCAATATTTTGCTTGTCGAGATCATCAACCGCTTGATCGAATTACTAGCAAGATGGAATTCCTCAAAACCGGAGCAATTATTTAGGGTCAAGCCCTCAAGAGTCGGGCAGCCGAATGATAGCAGATCGAATGACTCACTCGACAGGATCACACTATGGAGACTCAAATTCGTGAGACGAGAGAACAAGAATGTGCTTTGGCGGTGACACC